TCAAAACAGAATGTTTTAAAAATGCTAGTTCTTATACCCCACACAACCATGTTGTCAGGATATTATAGCTTTGTGTGGCCCCAAGAACTTTGGTAAATCATTATGCAGTTATGGACGACATTTTTGCCTGTAAATTCGGTTCTAAAGCAACTTATTGAGGAAGAATGTAACATGTGCGTGACGGATACAAATTTGTTCGATGGAGATAGAAGACAAACTTTGTTTTATTTGAATTTGTCATCTCAAGATCCACACATAACAGCATTATCAAAAAAAAAATTCTCATATTAGAGTCTGTATAGAAACATATGCTAATTTTGTCACGCACACGTTACATATTTTCTTACACTATTTAACTGCACTTACCACGGGATTCTCTTGGTACATGTATAGGTTTATATATATGTAATTCTTAGTAAGATATTACTTTATTTGAATTTAATATTTATTATTGATATTGTTTTAGCTAACAGCGTTCACACTTACGACAAATGACACTCATATTGTCCGGATTGCAAAGAATATTTCCTATATAATTTCATATCTCTCTTAACGAATTGATTTTTCACCTGTGTGGTTGACCTTTTTGTGGAATTCGTGATATATGTCAAATATATCATCATAAAGGAGGCTAATAGTACGTTTACAGTTAACCGGATATATATGTCAAATAAATCCTCACAAAATATGTCAACCCGGTAAAAAGTTCTAATGTATATGCCGTTTAAAAAGACATGTACATTCGAACTTTTTGCCACATTATAGGGACTTATTTGACAGATATGCAATGGAATTGATAATTTAAAGCCAAAAGTTTAATGAAATCCTGTACAATATAAACGTAGTATATCCCAGCAATATTTACCGATTTCCTTCAAACTTTGCACATCGTAAAATTTCTTCCAAACTTAAATCAAGATACCCCACAAAATGGTCAACATTTTGATGAAAATTAATTTTATAATATAATGAGAACCGACTATCCGATTTCAACTAAACTCTGCAGAACCTAATATTTTTTTCGAAACCTGTATAATGTTGGAAGATGGGACTCATTAGTCCACTCCTTCTAGTATCTTCCCTACAAAGGGTCAATATTTCGAAAACTTGTAAATCTCAAATGATGCGAACGCAATAGCCAATTTCATCCAAACTTTGCACAACGCAATATTTTTACCAATCCTATCGGTCCTCTTCTTCTGGTACCTCTCACACAAAGTGTCAACACATTGAATATTCATAAATCTAATATAAAGCGAATGGAATGCCCGATTTGGTCCAAGCTGTGCACATCGTAATATTTCTTTCAAATTTAAATCATGTTCGAATATGGGGAATATCGGTTCACTCCTTCATATGCTCATATCCATCAAGAACCTACACGGTTCCCCAATCTATTTTGGATAAAATTATTCACGCGGATTTGAACACGGTTGGTCTCAGTAGATTCAGCACGTAAAAAACTAAAATCACGCGCTGTTAAACCCAATAAATAGGTTTTTTTATAAAAATGTTCTTGAGAAATATATCAATCGATCTCAATAAATTATAAATTGTGTTGTGTTTTGGTTGTGCTTTTTATTTAAAGGCGAAATAATTAGTTTTCGCCTCGGCAAAAAAATGACGTTAAACTTAAGTTTTTTCTATGAATTCGCTTACTGGCCGACCTTATATAGGTCTTGGATGGCAATACTTCAAAATCAACATAACAGCCAATCAGGAGTAGGCATTCCTGTTTACCATTTTTACTCGGCCAAATTTCTCGGGTAAAAAGTTTACAAAGAGAACGCCATTTTGTTTTGTGCTCTCTTAAATTTGATACAATGTTTTACCAGTTTTGTGGGTTCAGGAACGATTTTCGAGTAAAATTAGTATATTCTTTTAGGTTCTGGAACGGAACTACTGTCTGCAGCCTGTTCTTCCATTTGTCCATAATATTTACGCCACTTTTCAAGAGGCCAGCCTTAATGAGATGTTGCAAAACTCAACTTAGCGTTAGCATGCCTTCTTGGCATATACATTATTTTCGATCAATCTCTGGCGTACAGTCACATCACTGATTTGTAGAGTTGAATATTTAAAATCAGCCCTCAACTTGTCTTTAACCACCCACATAGTTCCTGAAGCCCGGAAAATAGACAGGGTGGTCCCGCTAATGATGCCAGGCAAGGATGCCGCAGGCGTAAATCGTACAGGCCGATTTCACTCCTGTCACCGGTAGCGAAGACACTTGAGGCGCTACTCCTCCCATCGTTGAGAAGCAGATTTCCAGTTGCCCAACACCAACATGGATTCCGTAAGATGCATAGCACAACAACAGCATTACACCCCATTTCCACACATATTAGCAGAGGACTCAACCAGAACAGGCCGTGCAACCGAACAGTTATGGTGGCATTTGACCTATCGAAGGCCTTCGATACCGTTAACCATGTCAAGCTGTTCGAGGATATAGAGAGGAAAAATCTCCGACTGTGTTTGAAACGTTGGATAATCAACTATATGTGTGGACGCCAGTCGTATGTGGAATTCAGAAACAGGAAATCTAAATCCTGTAGAGTGAAACAGGGAGTTCCCCAAGGAGGGGTGATATCTCCGGAACTGTTTAACCTCTACCTTTCTGATATTCCACAACCACCGGACGGCATAGAGATCGTAATGTATGCGGATGATTGCACGATCATGGCGTCGGGTCCCTTTATTGATGATGTATGTGAGATGCTAAACGTCTACGCAGCCGATATTGTTAACTTCTTCCATCTGAGGAATATGAAAATATCCGCCACCAAATCAACAGCCACACTGTTCACCACATGGACGGCTGAAATGAAGCTCCCACTGAACATAATGGTCGATGGAGAATTGATTCCGACCACCAACTAACTAACCCAAGATATTGGGAGTAACGTTCGACAGTCTTTTCAAGTAGTCCGCGCATGCCACTGCTTTATGCGATAAGCTGAGAAGTAGGAACAAGGTTCTCAAGTCGCTAGGCGCTGACAAAGAAACCTTGTTGATCTCTTATAAAGCAATAGGCGGGTCAGTGATAAGCTATGCGGCGCCATTGTGGTTCGCGAATGATAGTGATACGCAGTGGAAGAATATCCACACCTGCCAGAACGCTGCCCTGAGAACTGCAACAGGGTGTTTCCTCATGACTCCAGTGGACCATCTTTATGAGGAGACGAAGATCTTTTGAATTCTATGTCAAATAAATAAAACCTGTCAACCCAATGAGATGATGGCTCAAATATTGGATCTATTTCATATTTTCCCCAAAGAAAATGAAGTTTATCATAAGATTTTACCACGCTTTAAACAACTGTATGCTGAAGTAGGAAAATCGATCGAAGGTCTAGATATGGATCATATGCATGCCGTGCTTAAGAAATGGCCGGTCAGTGGTAAGCTATGCGGCCGAATGTTATACGCAGTGGAAGAATATCCACACCTGCCAGAACGCTGCCCTGAGAACTGCAACAGGGTGTTTCCTCATGACTCCAGTGGACAATCTTTATGAGGAGACGAAGATCTTTTGAATTCTATGTCAAATAAATTCAAAATAAATTGAAATTAAAATTATGTTTTTAACGCGTCAGTGCTTTGTTATGGGTGAAACAAATATTTCATGGTATTCCCTACTGGATTTTATGAATAAATCATAACCTTTCATTCAGTTTTCGCGTTTTTAATTTTGTGTTGAAAAAATGTAAATAAAAAATGTATATTTATTGTATATTTGACAGAAGAAGCCACCACCTACATAGTTGATTTTTTGTTATTCAACGCAAGTTGTCCTACGTAATTGATATGTTCCCGTACTGCAAGAATCCACTACTTTTTACTTAGCTTTTTCATAGTGGGCAACTAACCCGACGCCTCAACCCATTTTTTATAGTTCTTATGGGTGAACTCGCGGCACATATTAGCTCACTATTTCATCGGATGATGAGAATAGCTCCCCAGGTGGCACCGCGGGGAGGTCAGTGTCCACAATTGAGATGAAAGCGGGACCAAGATAAGCCTGGACGTCGCCATGTTAAAGCCAATCAGAGCCGTTGCTTGGTGTCTATCATCCCCTACGCCACCCTACTACTTTTTACTACGATAACGAAATTTTCTTTATGTTATGGAAGAAAATAGTAAAATCTAGTAGATTCTTGCAGTACGAGAACAGACCAAATGCGAACAGGACAAAATACAATAAATTTGGAACAATTTAGATTTGGGTAACGAAGAAAGTTGGAAACCTAAAATTTGGAATGTTGGTCACATAAATATATTATTCATTTGTTTTGGATTCAGCATAGGAAGTAGCGGGCGCTTCTCTAGTATTATGTATTTTAAAATTTAATTATACCGTATTTTATATTTTGAAAAAAATAAAATAAAATCAGCGGGTCTTACTGGATGACCTTGCTAACATTTTATGTACTTCCCTAACTTGAATCGCTTTCTATATCGTTACAGATGGCAGCAACAAAAATATATCATTTTTCCTTAAAACCTGCCAACCCAATGAGATGATGGCTCAAATATTGGATCTATTTCATATTTTCCCCAAAGAAAATGAAGTTTATCATAAGATCTTGCCACGCTTTAAACAACTGTATGCTGAAGTTGGAAAATCGATTGAATTCAGTCCTAAAGCTTATAAATTTGACGGAAATGTAGATAAGGATTATGTTCTCCTCGAAGATTTGCACATTAAAAATTATAAAAATGCAAATCGCATCGAAGGTCTAGATATGGATCATATGCATGCCGTGCTTAAGAAAATGGCTGAATATCATGCCGTTTCAGCATGTTATGTGGAGAAATATGGTTCATATGGGGAAGATTTTAATGTGGCCGTTTTCTCTGAAAAGAATCGTGAACTTTTGACGAATTTCAATAAATCAACGGCATTTCTAACGCAATTGAAAAAGTGGCCAAATTGCAGGGGCTACTATGAGAAATTGGCAGACAGTGATGATTATTTGGTTAGTCGCTTGCTGGAGGATCAACGTGTCAATGCTGGAGAATTCAATGTTCTCAATCACGGCGATTGCTGGGCCAATAATATCATGTTCCAGTATGACGCGTTTGGAAAAATCAAAGATATACTTTTTGTGGATTTTGCTTTGGGCAAATACGGCTCACCGGCAAATGATTTATATTACTTTATATTGTCTTCATGTTCGGCTGATATCAAACTAGCGCAATTCGATTATTTCATTCGGTTTTATTATGGTCATTTAGTGGAAAATCTCAAGTTGTTGCAGTACGCCCGGCCGTTGCCCAAGCTAATAAACATTCATGGATCGTTGCTGAAAAATGGTTTAGCTGGTGAGTACAGAGAGAGGGGGGAGTGTACATATGTTGTTTAGATAAGATCATGGGGAAATCAAAGTATAAAATTTTATTATCAAATGACTCATTTAACGTTTTTATATAATTGTAATAAATTTCAATTTTTTTTTTTGTTTTCAGCTTATATGGTTGTATCCAAAGTCTTGCCAGCTGTAATCTTGGACAAATCAGAGGAATCCAATTTGGAAAACTATACCAATGAAAACTCAAAAATGGTTCAGTCTATGTTTAATAATCCCAAATATGTTAAACAAATGTTGAATATTTTACCATGGCTAGATAATCGTGGTCTGTTAGATTGGAAGTGATTATTTTTTTTGTGTAAATAAAAAAAATTATATAATATATTTTTGTGTATAAATAAAAATAATAAATTGTAAAAATATGTACATAATATATACATATACAAAATATGGTCTGTTCCAGAACCTGCAATAATGTACGATTTTTTACCATGATAAAAAATTTTCATTTATGATATCGGAAAAAATAGCACTGCAAGAATCTACTTGTTGTTGTTGTTGAGCAGACTTATCATCAGGTCCACCTTTCGTTTCCCCGATGATAGGTTTCTCCTTTACCTTCTTCGATGCCGCTGCATGTGAGACAGAGGGTTGCGTGGTCAGCAGCAGCGAGGGTTTCTTTGCAGCAGGTAGCTGTTCCTCTGTCGACCTCATCCTCCTCTCCACCTAGGGCTTTGTAGAGCAGTTATTTTCCTTCCGAACAACTACCGCTGTGGAAACCAAGTTTGCTACCGGTTCCACTGCAGCCTTACTGCCTGTATTTGCAGGAGCAGATGTTCCTTTACATCGATTGCCCGCTACCCTCACCTTTGTAGAGGTCTTGACAGGAGCAATCGATGTACGCGATGTAGGAATTCTATCGATTAAGAGCTCCCTATCGGCCTTGTGAGGTGTTTCTTAATCAATTTGAAGTCCTTATCGCTGATGGAACTAGGATCATGGTCGACATACTTCTGGCAGAAACAGACTGCCCTTCGTTATGACTTCCTGTCCATTGCTTCTTTGGACTTGGCACTTTTGGTTGTAGTAGTCATCAACGGGGTTTCCAAGCTTTCCTTGGATTGCCCACTCTTGACTTCTGTTCCCTCCGTTGCCAGTTGTCTTCGAAGCAGCGTTGGTCTATCGGCTGCCCCCGACGTTTGCATGACTGATTCCGTCATCGGGAGATTGGTATCGCTAGTAGCTTCGGTCGGCATCCTTTGTTGACTGGGGGGACTTGTAATGACCGTTGAATTAAAATCTTCCTCCTCGTCTGTCATGGGGGTGTCGTCCCACATGCCAAGTGGGATACTTTCCTGACTTAGACGGAAGCTGTCGTATTCCTCAATCAAGTTGCGGATAGATTCTGAGTGTTGTGTCAGTTCTTTGTTGATGTCAACACGGGTAGCGCTAAAGTTGTCCCCACCCGCATTTATTATTTTTGAGGAGCGTGTGCTCACACTATATCCGTGTCCGAATTCTTAGTAGAATGAGAGACTGAGGGTGCCAAGGCAGCCACACCAACTTCAGTCGTAGAAGTTTTTTTTTGTTTTTGGGGGTTTTCGAAAATTTACTAGGCTCCATAGTACTTGAGTAAGTGGAGGACAAGATGTCGACCATGGCATAGCCTCCTTACAATGGCAAGGACTCGGTAACTAAACCTAATGCTGGTTGAGGCGCCCAGGTATCAACCAGGCTCCGTTAGAATACTGTCGCACCCTGACTGCAAACCAGAAACACTGATGGGCACGATTCGCGTTACACCTCAGTGTTAGGGGATCATCCATTAGGGCAGGGGACCAGGAACCCATGTGTATTGGTTCATTTGGGCGCCAATGTTTCGCCTCGTCAGTCTAAGGATCATTGGCACTAGGTCATTTCCTTCCGAGACTCTCCCCTTAGACCCGCTGAATACTGTCCGCGGCTGCTTCTTTAATTCGCAGCTACCCTATAATATATGTATAGGGCATCTCTCTATCCGCAACCTGTGGACGCGTCCACCCAGATGCCTCCATAGCGAATACACTACTATAGATATAGTTATATGTATCCGCTACGGCGAAATATATAATATATACATATACATAATATGGTCAGTTTCAGAACCTGCAATAATGTACAATTTTTTACTATGATAACAATTTTTCCTTTATGATATCGGAAAAAATAGTACTGCATGAATCTACCTGCAGTACGGGAACAGACCAATAATGTGTCAAATAAATTATTTCCACAAACATGTAAGGTAAACACGTCAATGTAAACGTATAGTCTAAACGCGCTCATGTTATTGTACTATGCATGAATCCATGATAATATCATGTACACAAACCCGTTATCTGTTGTATGGAATTGTCGATGCATCAACCTTGCAAACCAGTCTTATGTGATTTGGCGGGATAAATTACAATTTGTGAATTCCAACAAAATTCCAATTGGGGATTCGTTATAAAGATTATTTAGTACAATTGGTGTATAGTAAATGCAACAATTTATGGGCAGTGACTATCTTTAATATTGGCGTCTGCACATGATTTGTGGCGACATCTGGCAGATAGGTAAATTTCGAAAAATGCATCAACCTTGCAAACCAGTCTTATGTGATTTGGCGGGATAAATTACAATTTGTGAATTCCAACAAAATTCCAATTGGGGATTCGTTATAAAGATTATTTAGTACAATTGGTGTATAGTAAATGCAACAATTTATGGGCAGTGACTATCTTTAATATTGGCGTCTGCACATGATTTGTGGCGACATCTGGCAGATAGGTAAATTTCGAAAAAATCTCAAACAAAATAATTCACTCTTAAACCTATTATTGGTCTAATAAAACGGGATGAAATTACTTGACGAAATTAACAAAAACTGTAGTTTAGTGTAATTTCTTATAATGTCACATTTATATATAAACATATTCAACAGGTTGTTCTGTTGATTTGACATGTTTTTTAAATCTTATTAAATATGGAAAATATTATTAAAAATTAACGGAATGGCAGGTATTTTCACAACATGGGCTTGCAAATATTATTATAATAATATTTCATCCCAAAACTTTGAAAGATTTTTCTCTAAAAAAAATCACAACAGAAAATTTGGGATTACAGTACTTTTCGTTCACAGTCCATTACTCTTAACACTAGAAAGACTGGAATTTTGTATATACCTATATTGCCTAAAATCGGTCAAAATGACCTCATTCTAAAAGAATTTTTATTGTGAAAAGAAATTTTTTTAAACTTATTTTTTAATATTTTTACATTACTTTCAATCATACAAAGCGTTGTTTATATTTGTTTTCGATGGGAGGGCTCTCGAGTTTCCCTTTTTGAAAAATAAGAGCGAGGACAAAATGTTCGAAAAAGAGTAAGTGTTTACTGTAAGAGTGAAATCGACTGGAAATATAAAATTATTTCTACCCGATTTGTGTGTTCGTTTGTGTTTCTAGAGTAGCAAACGGGTTTCGATGTTGTTCTACTGATCTGGTCATATAAGAAATTTACTTTATACAATAATAAAAGTAGTTTGACCGATTTTAGGCAATATAGGTAAAGCACATCTGAATACTGGGAATGAAAGAGGGGGAAAACAGCTACTATGATTAATAAACGTAGTTCTATGTGGTACAAAAAGTCACCAAATTTTAAAAAACTGTGTCATAATATACACAATTATTTTTGTACTTGAAATTGAAAAACGGTCAAAGTGACCGCCTTCGGCAATCTAGTGTTAAAGGCTAAAAACGGATGTAAGCGAAAACTGTATTATTTACTGACAATTTTTTTCCAAATTCATACAAATTATTTTTTCTATAGTCCACTTCGCCTATAGTCCATTTTCGTTTAAAGGCCACATTTTCTGTGCATGCAAAACTAACATTGCATAGAAAAAAATTCATATAGTCCACCCTGTTTTTTATATTACATATTTTAAACTGGCATGACATTTATAGTACGTTTACATTTAACCGGACTTCGTTAACCCAGTGGATTTCAATGTCAATTACTTTGCATATATGTCATCCCACCTCAATCGTAAACTTTCGGTTTAAATTGTGAATTGTGTTGGAAAACATTACCACATGTAGGAACAAAAAAGTACGAAAAGGTACCTAAAATTCTACTTCAAATGATAATAAATCATAATTATCGATAAATAATATATGTTATAATTTAAACCTAAATGTATTCACGAATAATAAAAAAAACTAATTTTTGTTTTGGTATGTTTATGTCAATTCGTACCTTTTGTGAACAAAAAGTACGCTTGTTACAAATTTAAAAATAGCGCAAACTCTAATTACTCTCTCAAGAGAGAGAAACTCTCAACACCGATCCCGATAAATATAAAACCACGCTTATCGGCCATTTTGTCTTCTCCTCCCATTCGTTAGCAGGTGGAACGTTTTTCAATTTTTTCAGTCGTCGTTTAACTTTTACTTGAAAACCGTTCCCGGACCCATAAACCCATCGTTCGCTCGCTCGCATAAACGCATAAATGTGTGAAGAATCCTTAATTTTTGCAAATAAGAATATAAACTGTGTTAAATTCAATTAAACAGAATAACATTTAACGAGAAAAGTATTACATTTTGTTATTTAAATAACAAATAAATGAACATTGTGTGTTAAAAAGTAACGAAAAGAATATTGACAGAAAATAAATTAAGGGAAGCAAGCCACCATCCAGCAGCATAGAAGCCAAATTCCTTTCGATTTTTTTGCTATATAGACGCGGAACTTTACAATAAAACAAGGTGAGTACAGCAGATGACATGGTGGATGACGGTGAAGAGGAGACATGGAGAATAACAAGCAATGAAAAGCCTCGAGTCATGCTAAATGACATGTTTCCTCCTATTACAACTATAGACCAAAACATCGATAATTAAATGTATGGCTGTTGAAAAATTGTATTGTTATAAAGCGGGAAGAGGAGGGCGTCAGAAATGTGCAAAAAATGAAATAGTTGTGGTTTTTGTGAAAAAAAAAGTTTTTTTTTATTTATTTGCAATTATATGTGTTAGTGTGTGTGTACATAATGCTAATTTCTTGACAGCATTTGAAGAGTTTTTTTATTGTTCTGTTGTTTCGCCCTTTTGATTGCTCTGCTATCCGTTCCCCCCGCTGCTGTTTAGTTAGTTTGCACAACGGTACTACAGGCAACCGTCTTGCGTTTATGTTTTGGATGGTTGAGTGATTTTTTGTTTTATTTTGTGGTTAATGTTTTGTGATTTTTTTTGGTTTCGTTTTATTTACACACATATAAAGGTGCGTCTTTATTTTAATATGTGTGCGCGAGTGTAAATTTGTTTGCGCCAATTATTATTGTTGTTTTTTTTTCTTTGGCACTTCTTTTACCATCAACATATTTTTGTTTTATCAAATTAGCTTCAAGTGGTTTTTTGTTGTTTTTGTTATAATACATTTTTTATATAGCATAATTTGTTTAGTATTTTTGCAAATATAAGAAAAATGTCATCATAGTGTGTTGTTTTTGTTGTTTTTCTTGTGTTTTGATGTGTACTGTTCTGTTGGTTTGTGTTGTTTGTTGCTGTTGTTTGCATTTGTACGCCTGCGCCAGCAGAATTAGGGACAAAACGATGATGACAGTGTTGCATTTTGCTGAAATCATCGTATGAACACAAGGAATAACAACACAACCACAAGAACAACGACTATGACTTTGGCATCTGTGCAACAACAAACAATGCAAAAAGATGGCCGCATTATTCTCTCCGTGTCATATTTTTTTACGCTTCTTATTTGAATGGTGCATTAACCTTTGTTAATGTGTGTTGTTGTTTGTTTCGTTTTTTTTTTCAAAATGGAAATTTGTTGTTGTTTCTTCAAAAAGAAAATTCCAATTGGATTCATGTTTATATTGTTTGTGTTTTAGAAGAATTCAATGATTTTGTTATACCACCTATAAATAAATAAACTGTATGCCTTATAAATACAAATGAAAAGAAGAAGAAGAGGGAAACAAATGCATGCAAACATGTTCATAACCAACAATACCGGTTAAAGAAGAAGAATATTTAGTTTAATATGCAATAAATGTTCTACTGTTTTAATTAGAATTGGAATTATTATCGGAGGCTGATTAATATTCTGACTAAATAATTTGGCTTAAATTAATTTTTTTTTAATTGACGTCACTGGTATATAGATGTACAAAATAGTAAATATTTAATAATGTGAGACCTCAAAAAACTATACCGAATTTTAACTTTCAGTCGGTCACATATGCTGGTTTATTCTGGTCTTTAGCGGTACCTCGTGAAATAGTAAGATGTATGATTGAGAGATAATTAGACCGATTTAGGTAGCGGTAGATGTTCGCAGGTCTCCCTTATTTACATTGACGATAATAGTAAAATCCCCACTATAGTCCAAACTGGGAATGAAATATACAATTCCGCTGTGAATTGTAATTATGCTTATTTTAGCCAGGTCAAATCTTAACAAAGCTTAGGATCTGCTTGAGCTCTATTCCGGAGAAGAATGCTAGATTATCAATTTCATCTTTGCCGAACTGTCTATGTCTTCTGCTTAGCGATGGGCACCTACAGTGTATATGTTCAATAGTTTCTAGCTCTTTCTCATCCTAACATAGACGGCACTAGCCCACTCCATTAATGTCCCATTTGGAAATGAGAGATCTAATCCTGCAGTGACCTGTTATGATCCCCACAGTTATTTTTATCTCCCAACTACGGCAAGAGAATTCTGGCCAGATGGTTTTTGAAACCCTGCATCCAGGTTCGGATGATGACTACCTCGCAGTAGCTCAAACGGATGTTGCCAATAAAGTAAGCAATGGGCGGTTGTAGAGATCCCTCAATTGGTACAATGGACAACTATGAATCTCCCTCCGGCAACCGTCGTATATCATGAAGAGCAACCTTGCAATCACGAACCGCCTTTGAATAAAAAGTGCGCGATTTAAAACCTTAAGGGTCGCCTGACTGTGGACATATATAACCACCGATCCTATATTATCGGCAGTAATTGTTTTGACTATGCCAGGATTTCTGCTTGAAAAACGCTGCAAAGATCGTCATGTTTATAGATTGCTAGTTCTTTGCAGTAAACGCCTGTACCAGTACTTTCCTCCAACTTCGACCCGTCTGTAAATATCGACAGACCGGTAAGAGGTAAGGACTAGTGGCTCCTTACAGGATTCCCTACTAGGAAACTCTACTCTGATGTCGTTAAAGTCCTTATGAGAAAGAGTATAATCACTGATGTGGGTACTCCACTCCAAAAATTCACAAACTGGCGTCGTTCTACGCATCTATTTCCCAGAGCCTCAAGGCAGATCTTGCCGCTTGGAATTTAACCAGAATGTTTAATGGTTGGAGATTCAAGAATGCATTCAACGTGACTTGTGGTGTGCTTTTTAGCGCTCCGGTTATCAGGATCTTCTTGTTGACCCATTGCCACCATACAAGGCAACCATATGAAAGAATGAAGAGTAGAACCGTGCGCGCTCGGTTATATCTGTTTGTTGACCCATTGCCACCATACAAGGCAACCATATGAAAGAATGAAGAGTAGAACCGTGCGTTCCTTAACATTCCTTTTCCACGTTAATTTGTGGACGAGGATTGCACCAAGGTATTTTGCTTCTAAGGAAAGGGCTAAGGTATCTCCAAACAATAATGACAATCGGATATTTGGGATCATGCGTTTCCTATAGCTATGTTCTCAATACGTATCGATAGCGCATTGTCCCGGGAATCCTATTAATTGTCCATCTGAGCCAATAAGTCAACTGACCATAACCTTGTGGCTAAAGCCAATAGAGGTGGCACAATTTCTTCGGCTACTCTACTCTTCAAATTCTAATTCCATTAACGCAAGTTAATGTATTTCAATCCAATTTGAATTCATTTTCCTCTACGATAATCTAGCCCAAAGGGCCAAGAGCAATTTAAAAAACAGCAATTTTTTACATTCCATTTTCTTTTGTTTCTTCCATCGATATTTTTAGGCAGGAACTTGCACCAAAAGCCAATCTGTTACAATAGCATATCGATTTGGGATTCTTATATAGGATTTTGCGAACTCTTTCAATTTCCCCATTTAAACGTCTCCAAGACTTCGTCTTAGGCTTCAACCAGACTGGGTTAGTTTTTACAGATCATTCACTACTTTTTCAACATCATAATCTTGAAAATATTTAATTGTACAGTGAGATTAAATTTTATTTTTTATTTTGCGAAATATCTACTTCTTTGAACTAATTTCTGCATTTTCGAACCATGTGATCGATAGCTGTCGATAATATCTTTCAAAAATACTAAACCTAAAAAAATACACAGAATTTGCTCTAATTTCCAAATTTAAATTTTTTTCTTTGGATGATAAATCGTTTGGTATTTTTTTTTCATCTTCTTCTAAATGTTCACACACCCCCGCACATTATTAAGCTGCTGTCATATGAAAATCATAAAAAATATATATATTTATTTATGTACAATGTATATAGGTGGCGGTGCGGCGGCACGTTTTTGTCACCACTATGGCTAATTTAAATTTATTGCTAAGCATTTCCAATTTTGGCTAATACAAATCACTTTAGTAGCAACGCTTTTTTGTGGTGTTTTTATTTTTATTGGAGATTTAATGACATGTTTTGTAGCGGATTTTTGTGTGTTTTCGGTCATTTAAATGAAGTTAACAAAAATACACACCAAATACGTAACTTTTCAGCCACATAGAAGAAATTGGGAATAAGAATCTACATAATAGGGGGAATTGAAATCATACTATGATACTTTTCCAGATTCCTTCCTCCAGAGAAAAACAGAAACTTTATCGAAAACCACGGAATACAAACTGAGATATGTTCAAAGCTAAAACCGCATCCACAATCCTTGGTCACATAGATCTCAGCAACTTAGTACAGAGAACAATTCAATAGGTACAAAAGTGAAATCAAGAAGGCTAAACGTGAATCTTGGTTTTGCTGTAGCGAGTCAATCGAAGGAGTAAACGAAGCGGAAAGATTTCGCAAAGTAATATCTCAAAATCGAAAAATCTATAGGTAGTATTAAGCAAAGCGATGAAACGTGAACAAACTCCGGCCGAGCGACTCTTTATCTTTTATCATCAACCCAGCGACTCTTTATCTTTTATCATCAACCCATAGAAAATCTATAGGTAGTATTAAGCAAAGCGATGAAACGTGAACAAACTCCGGCCGAGCGACTCTTTATCTTTTATCATCAACCCACTTCCCTGGTTGTATTGATCATAACAATGAAGTGATGGAGCCTTCAACAATGTGCGGATGGAAGCTATCATTTTGCTCTCGATAGTTCGATAGTTCAGGTATCCCATCCATCCTAATAGATTGGATTGACAGAATGCTGGAAAGCAGAATCATCAATTCATCATTTTGTACAGAGTTTCGTGAGGAAATCTGTCAACAGAGGTACACCTCAGGGAGGATGTAGTAATCTCCTCTACCAGAGATGGCCTGTAATAAACAGTGACGTAAATGACATACATTTCCGACGTATAATACATACGTCAGAAACGTCGGAAACCTACCCAAATCCATTAGGTTTTTGACAAAATAGCTATTTCCATTAATCTATTTGGAAATTACGCATGATTTACTCAAATTAATAAAAAAAATTTCAAAATTTTCTTCTCAAAAAAATTTAGAAATTTTTATCAGTAAGAAACAGTCAGATATATGTAAAAATAATATATATTCTTGAAAATAGCTGTATATGCTGATAATA